CTCAGTGCAGTTTTACTCATTTAAAGAGGATTGATATCCTAGCTTGCTATAAAACTGATCATAGCACCATGTGTGGTGGCACATACACGCCTTTAATCCCAGCATTGGTGAGGCAGAGGTAGGCAGATCTCCATGAGTTCAAGGCCTGCTGGTCAAGGAGCCAGTACTATTACACAGAGAAATCTGGCTCAAAAAAAAAAAACAAAAAAAACCATTGATCATTGGTGCCAGTGCCTATAATCTCAGCACTCTGGATTCTGAGGCAAGGGGATTACAAGTTGAGAGCAGCCTAGCTGTGTAGTGACCCTACCTCAACAATAGCAACAAAAATTTATTATATATCAAGATTTTATTTTTAAATGTTCATAAGGACAAAAATAAAAAGCATGATTTAAAATACTAGATAATTTTTTTTGGTATGAAAAGTTGAGTAGCAAAACAAATACTAGGAACTTGGCAATTTAAAATATAGACTTAGGGATAATCTTTGTATTATAAAATTTATATGTATTTAAAAGGATTTGTTGGGGGGTGGGGCTGTGTGTGCGCACGCCACTTGTATGTGAGTGCATGCAAAGGCCAGAAGGTGACAGAATCCCAGACTTGGAGTCACTTTAGGTCCTTTGAAAAGAGCAACACGTACCCTTGCTGTGGGATAGTGTACACTATAAAGACTTCTCACTCATATTGGTTTAATAAAATGATTGGCCAGTAGCCAGGTGGGAAGTATGGGGGATGGGAGGAACCAGACTAAGAATTATGGGAAAAGGAAAGACAGAGGCACAATCACCAGCCAGAAGCAGAGAAAGTAAGATGAAAGTGACTCTCTGAAAAGGTACCAAGCCACGTAGCTAAACATGCAAGGATTATGGTTTAATTTAAATTGTAAGAGCTAGTAAATAATTAGTCTCAGCTAATAGGCCAAACAGTTTATAATGTAAGCCTCTATGTGTTTCTTTGGGACTAAATGGCTGAGGGACCAGGCAGGTCAGAAAGTTCTGTCTACATACCCAGCTCCTATGCAGAAAGACTTTTCATGGATAGGAAAAGGGAGTTAGATTTATTAGATGCTTGATATTTATAGCTAAGTTCTTTCAGATTGCTGTAAGACCATTTAGGGTATATGTGTGGAATTTTAAAGTTTATAGAGGCGATCTATAGTCAGACTTCAAGAGAAAAAAAAATTTCCTTGCTCAAAAATGAAGTATTAAAGCGAAGAAAAGAAAATATTTCCTAAAATGTTAGGTGAACATAGTAAGAAACCTTAGATAACCAATGAGCAGTAAGTGATTTGAGAGGGCAAGGTGTGGTGTCCCACACCTGTAATCCCAGGATTCAGGAGACTAAAGCAGAAGGATTGCAAGTTCAAAAGCACTTTGTACTGCATAGTAATAAAACCTTGTCTCCAAAGAAATACAAGAAACCAAACAAAATTAAATCCAACACTTCTAGATAGGCAAAGAGAACTAAGTTTTTAAATTGGTTTGGGATAGGTGGAAGTTAAAGCCGAGTTCACAGTACGTTAAACATTCCAAATAACATTCCAAATAAGCAAAGCTCATGAAAACAAGTGCTGTGTCTGTCCATTGATAGTTTTTATTTTGTAGAAAGTTTCAAACATTATGAGAAAAGAAAGGGTAGAAACTAGACCCTCCAAGTACACATCAACAATTAGCAGTATTGTGATTCTGTCTTGGTTTGGGAGCAGTGCTAAGGGTTGAATCCAGAGCCTTACACATATTAGAAGTGATTTACCAGTGAGCTAGGCACCTTTTTTCCTCATCCTTTTCTTTTAACTGATAGAAGAATTTAAAGTAAACCCTTTCTGTATTTTTAATGGTAATAGTAAACATCCAAACTACTACAGTGGGACCAACATTTGCTGACCACACTGAGAAAACTAAGAGGAACTCTTTACTATGACTTCATGACCAGTTCCTGATCATATTTTTCAGTTTATCTTTAAAGTCAACAACGGAATAACAAACTGAGTTTTTTAGCATCTAGATCCAGACAAGCACACATTTGGTGAATGATTATCTGTTTCTGCAGGAGTGGAGTATATCACCCCTCATCTACTTTGTTGGACATCTCCCACATTGTGAATTTGGTGGATTGCATCTGTTTCTGTAAACTAGGAGTTAGAACAAAAACCCACTTTCAGTTTTTGTTGTTGCTTTGTTTTGAACAGTACTTGTAGATAGGCTTGGTACATGTCTTAGACAGTTCCATCGCTTAGATCAGTTTGGCTTGGTGAGAGGTCCTTTATCCACTTATCCAAACTAATCTTGCTGACCCAAGATTAGTTTACTAATACAAAATTCAGTTCAAGTGGCAAACGTGGTTAGTACATTTCTGAAAATCATTATTTAATAATTAGGTAAACTTTGTTTTTATGACACCAGGTCTCAACAGATAAAATCCATAAACTGAATTTCTTATACATCATTCTTAAGACATCAGAATATCATGCCTTAAGGCTTGCACTTTAGTGCCTTACATAGACTACTAATGCACTTCTGCTTCTCTGTTGGTATGTGGTAACATTTTGTGGTGCTTAGAATCTGAAATTGAATTGCAAAGCTTGAGCTCCTTTTGTCTTTGTCATTGAGCACATTCTTAGTTTGTTTGTTTGCTTTTAAATTGGCATTGACTAACAGTTTAGAGAGCATTAGTTGACTAGGGATTTGAAAAAGATTGACTAGTAGATGAAACTATAAAATTAACTCTGACTTTAACGAAGTTTTTAAAGCATAGTTTGTATACTAATACAGTTGTTTCACTGATTGATTCAACTAAATCTAGACTGTAATAATGAGTTCTACAGTAGGAATGCTCACAACTGCTGACTTCCTTTCTTTTCCTGTTGCTTTAACACATATCCTGACACACTTAAGAAGGGAACTTTTTTTAGATTTTGTTTTGTTTTGCTTTGACTCACAATTCCAAGTTGTGGAATTGTGGGGGAAGTCAAGGTGGCAGGACCTCAAAGTGGCTGGGCTCATCTTCACAGTCACTGAATGGAATTGGTGCCAGTTCTCGCTCACTCTCTATACATCGTCTAGAATCCTCTCCTTAGGGAGTTGTGCACCCACAGTGTACAAGTCTTCTACTAATTGAGTAATTGCCCTTACTGAGCTTCTATCACAGTGATTCTAGAATGTGTCAGGTTAGCAGTTAAACTAACCATCACAGCTATCTTATTGTCATGTATTTAAAAACAGGATTTGATTTAAATGCAGTCCTGTCTAAGCATAGTTTCAAAGCAGAATAAAACAATTAAAAAATAAAAATTACACCAAATAAATAAAAACTTGTTTTTCAGTTCCCAAGAGAACAAAGCCTTTTTTTTTGTTTTTCCTAATGGAAAATATTTTTTTTTCATATATTATGATCACAGTTTCCCCTCCTTCATCTTCTTCCAGATCCTCCTTACTTCCCCATCTTTTCAAATCAAGGCTTTCTCTCTCAAAACAAACAAGGAAAAATAAAGGAAAAGAAAGAGAAAGAAGAAAACAAGCAAGCAATGTACAAGAAACACATGAAGAGACATACACAAACAAAACCATAAAAACACAAAATCAAAAACCATAATATGTACACAAAAGACCTATAAGGTTAAGAAATGCAATATGAGACAAAAAAAAAAAACCCTCCAGTAACACCTATGAGTTTTTTTTATGTTGTCCAACTGCTGATCATGGAGCCTGCCTTTATGTATTGTTTGTATACTCAATGAAACAAGGAAAAACTAATTTTCCTTTGAAAGCAGTTGTCAAGTGGAAATAACTTCTGGGTTAGGAATGGAAGCTTATGTCTACTTCCCCATCTTAGCACTGGGACTCCATTTGTTTTGGACCTGTACATGGTGCCACAGTTGATGTGAGTTTATGTTCCAGACCTGCTATGTAAGACACTGCTTCCTTGGAATCATCCATCACCCTGGCTCTTACTCCTCTTCCTCAATGCTGAGGTGGAAGGGTTTGATGATTTCCCATTTAGGACCAAGTGTTCTGAGGTCTCTCATTCTCTGGTTTCTACTAGTTCCTGTCTCCTGCAGGAGGAAGCTTCTCTGATGGTGGCTGAGCACTGCACTAATACGAGTATAGCAGAATGTCATTTTATTGCCATGATCTTTTAGCAGAATAATTAGGTTTTTCTCTAGGTCCAGTATCTATCTGGTCTCAGGTTATTGGCCACTTTGGCAATGTCAGACAGAAGTTCCATCTCATGAAATGGGCCTCAAATCCAATTTTATAGTGGTTGGTTACTCCAGCATTGTGCCACTGTTGCGCCAGCATATCCTGCAGGAAGGTCACTATTGTAGGTAGCTGGGATGGTGTTTACTTTTCTCTTCTGGAGTTATAGAGTACCTAGTACCATGACTATTAGTCAGTAAGGGTGAAAAATAAACTTAGATTTATAATGTGTTGTTTATTTTCTAGAAGCAAAAGTATGAAGCCCATTGGTTTCCCTTTCTCACTTCCAGTATGCTTGTGATAGTTAAGATTCTTTTCTAAAAATGGAGCAGAGTATTAGAATGATTAAATTTGCTGCCTATGAAATACTTTGGAATTATTCTTCTAAATTTTTTTAATTTCTTATAGAAAGAAGCAACTTTGAATCTGAACTTGCTAATAAAAGAAGAAATGAAAAACCCCAGTTGGATTAGAAAGAACTGGCTTCTTGTGGCCGGGGTGACTTTTGTAGGTGTCCATCTTGGAACATACTTTATGCAGAGAGCTGCAAAAGAGTCTGTGAGGTCTCAGTCCAGAGACAAACAAAAGAATATTGAAGAATGAAGCAAAATAAATACTTGGAATTATTAATGTCATTAAATTAATGTCTACTGGTTATTGTCTGTAAACCACTTGATTTTTGTAGCTGGCAATGCTGAATGCAGACTCTTGTTCATGAAAAAATGTTTCTAATGTTAAAACACATGGCAGTGCAATAAATGAAAAACATGTGAACAAAATAAAGCTACCTGTACAGGTTCCATCTGAAGCAGGATGTCTCGTTTTGAAGCTAAGAAGCCATCGCTGTGTAAAGCTGAACCATTGACAAGTGAGAGAGTCAGGTCCACACTTTCTGTCTTGAAAGGAATCCTAGTGTCATGCTATGGCCCTTCAGGGAGGCTGAAGCAGCTGCACAATGGCTTGGGAGGTAGTGTGTGTACAACCTCACAGTCCTCAGCTCTGCTTCGCAACCTTTCAGTCACCCATCCCGTACTGAAGGTCCTAACAGCGTCTGTGCAGAATCATGTGTCCTGCTTCAGTGACTGTGGCCTATTTACAGCCATTCTCTGCTGTAACCTGATTGAAAATACTCAGAGGATAGGCTTAACACCCACGAAGGTTATTAAGTTAAATAAAGACCTCCTGAGTTTCTGCACCACTTATCTCAAATCTGAAGCCTGTAGTTGTCGAATCCCGGTTGATTTCAGTAGTACACATATCCTCCTTGGCTTGGTCCACAGTATCTTAACCAGCAAATCTGCCTGTATGCTCACCAGAAAGGAAACAGATCACATCAGTGCTTTGCTTTTGAAAGCTTTTTTGCTTACAATTCCAGGAAGTACAGAAGACCGAATCATTTTAGGGAAGAGTATAATTGTTCCCTTAAAGGGCCAAGGAGTTACAGATTCCACTGTATTACCTGGACTGCTCATTGAAATGTCGGAAGTTCAATTAAGGAGATTACCCACCCGGAAGTCAAGTGCCCTCAAGGTGGCGCTCTTCTGTGTATCTTTATCGGGAGATTTTTCTAATGCCGGAGAAGGAACTGTGGTGGTCCCTTACCAAGTGTCCCTCGAGAATGCAGTTTTAGAGCAGTTGCTTAATCTGGGAAGGCAGCTAGTCAGTGACCATGTAGGTCTTGTCCTGTGCCAAAAAGTTATACACCCATCCTTGAAACAGTTCTTCAGTGAGCATCACATTATTGCCATTGACAGAGTTGGAGTGACTCTGATGGAACCCCTGAGCAAAGTCACAGGTAAAAACTTCTCTTGGCTTTTGTATATTAAAGCTAATATATCATCCTCCCTTTCTGAGCAGAGAACTTTGGTTTGTGTCACTGTTAATACCTTGAACATATTTAGAAGCCACAAACCTTATAGCATTTGACTCGTCTCTGGCAGCAAAAGTAGTTTCAAAGATCTCTTCCCAGTTATTAGAAACAGTGGTGCTGGCTTTTTCAACCCAAGTGTAGTCTGTTATGATCTAACCCTTAGTGTTTTATAGGCAGTCGAGAAGTCTAACATAATAATGTCTTTAATACTGTACACACAATTTTTAAAATTGACAGAGCTTTTAAATCCTGTTATATTCACCTTCATTTTTATCCTAACTCCAAGAGATTTCCATACTTCTGCCCAAATAGTTGTTCTTAATTTGGGAGGCAGGTATATGTTATACCTGTTTGATGTTTACCAAAACTACATGTAGCTAGGTTCTTTTACAGTCTGTGTTTCTAACATGTCTGGTCCTCAGACACGAAAAATCATGTGATAGACTGATATCTAGAATAACAATCACAAACTTAACAGACTAAACACACATATGTGGTCAGGAGAAAGGTTGAAGAGTCCCTTATGAGAGCCACTTCTCAAGTGTCCTGTAACTGCAGTGACAAAATCAGGAATTGTCAGTTACATCCATATTGACTGTGATGGTTGCTTTTTGTTTAACAAGGTCCAGCTATGTTGTTGGGACTAGTCTCCAAGTGCTGACCCTAAGGGAGCCACTTGAGTCTCCCAAATAGCTACAACTATATGGTACCTGCCTTGTGATTCTCAACTTAATGAACTATTAAAGTTCACTAGTATGGCAAACGTTGGATACTGTCAGCCAAACGATTTTCAAGATGAAAGTTACTAGGAACATTTGAATAATTATTTGGAATTCATTCTTCGTATCGTAGGACAGACCTAAATTGTGTACTAATTTGCATTGGGCTGGCTGTTTCCAGCCTAACATACTAGGTATTCTGGATTTGATAAGTTAAAGTTTGAAACATTTTCCCATAGCACCAGTGTTGTAAATGGCACTGGTTTTCTGTGCTAGTCCAGTTCTGTGACTTAGCTCAGATACCTAGAACACACCATGAAAATTATGACTCTAGAGTTTTCTAGTCTGTGGACAAGGTGGCACATACGTAATACCAGCACTTGGAAGAGGCAGGAGGATCAAGATCCTCACTCCTCCCCTGCATAGCAAGTTTAAGGACAGCCTGGACTACACGAAAGTATATTTAAAAAAAAAAAAAAAAACTGGCCTCCAAAAAAGTGAGTCGCTGCAAGTTACAATTTTGATATGCAAGTGTTAAATGTTACTTCTTACATTTACTTTGAAATTGGTGTAGATTCCTATATAACTTAACTACATTAAGAGATTTTGCTAATACCCAAATCAACTCTATTTGTATTTTAACTTGTGGTTTATGTAATTTCCCCCATGATAGTGAAAGGATAAAGAAATAGGAATAAGAAGACAAAAGTAAAATGAGTATGTCATATTTTTATTTTGGCACTTGCATATCTATTTGCATTTTTGTAAAAGCTCTTAGGCAAAGAGTGTGTGTGTGTGTGTGTGTGTGTGTGTGTGTGTGCATGCGCGTGCGCCCTAGAGTTCCCAAAGAAATAAATGAATTTTTTAAAAAAGGACTTTTCCACTCTTTTCAAATTAATGAGGTTCTCCTTGACGTGTGGTTTTTGATCTCTAGGCTTTCAGGGATCCTGAACTTCCTTAAAATATTGGTAATTTTGTTGTGTGCCTTTTCCAGAGAGTACAAAATAGCTTTGAACAGATGTTCAGATAGGTCTGTAAGATTGGGAGTGTGGCTCAGTGGTAGAGCATCTGCCTAACATGAGCATGACTCTGGGTATAATGCCTAATGATACACACACACACACACACGCACACCCACACGCGCGCGTGCGCGCATGCACAAGTGAATAAATACTATCAGTCTGCCTACCAGAAAGGCCTGACCACTGTGCGTGGCATTATTTCCTGGGCAGGAATTCCTAGATGATATAAAGTTGAAAAGGCAAACGAAGCCCTAGTTAGTATGCATGCACGCATCCCTCTGCTGCCTGATTATGGTAAGAATGGCCGCTTTGAACTACTGCTGCTGTGACTTCTCTACTGTAGTGAACTTTAACCTGGAACTGTGGTCCAGAATAGCCCTTACCCCTGTTGATGGAGTGTTTTTTTGTTTTTTTTTAATTTTATTGATTATGTATATAGTGTTCTGGGCACCAGATCTCATTATAGATGGGTGTGAGCCATCATGTGGTTGCTGGGAATTGAACTCAGGACCTCCGGAACAGCAGTCAGTTCTCTTAACCTCTGAGCCATCTCTCCAGCCCCTTAATGGAGTGTTTATCACAGCAACAGATAGGCAGCTATGACAAAGTTCATAAACCAAAAGAGCCTACACAAGCAAAGAGCATCACTTAATAGCAGAATATGAACTTCAGATATCTAAAATGTGTTTTATTTCTTTACCCTGTATTTCATATTTTAAATGATAAGCTTTGGTGAGGGGTTTTATACTAGCTAGGAATTTTGATATTTATTCATTTTAAGAGTTCCATCTTTGCTTATGCAGTTTATATTTTCTATACTTTATAAAAATAGGAGCAACGCCTATTGGTTCCCTAAACACAATAGCTTCTACTACTTATGGAAGTGTGAAAGATTTGCACCCTGCAAGATTTGGCTCCAAACACTTTTTCCATCTTATTCCTCATGAGACAACTGTTTGCAGCTTGCTTCTCTGCAGTAGAAACGACACCGCCTGGGAGGAGCTGAAGGTAGGTGGATTTCCAGGGCCTACAGCATGGATGAAGGAGTCATAGCAGGTACTGCAGGTTAAGGGCTGTGTTGATTTTGTTTTTCACAATTTTTCATAGTTTACATTGTGATATCATAAGTCACAAAGGGACAGAAGTAGGGACTGGAGGTATAGCTCAAGAGTGGAGCTTGGTACAGACAAGATCCAATCTGAGCACCAGATGAGGGAAGAGAAAAGGCAATGGCTCAAAGAAGCTAATTTAGTTGGGTGCTATAGTAAACATGGAATATATTGTACATTATCATTTCTGCTTTTTATAAGAAACCTAAAGGTTCTTGATGTGAAGTTTCCCTAAGAATAGGATGAGTTGCCTACGTCATCCAACCTTTTGACTTGATGCCACATTGCCATCTACAAATGTGTTGCTGCATTCCTAGCTCTTGAGGGAAGCATGTAACCCATACACCACAGGCTGATCATGCCTGGACTGTGTGTACTGCTGTTAATGTGTATGAATAATAGACTCAGAAAGTGAATTTCCCAGTCACCTACTTTCTAGTAGAGTTTATTGTTTTCTACAAGTTTTATATAAGGGAACTGACAATATACAGGACTGTTTGTTAGTTTAAAGATTCATATATGCTTAAAAATTCATCCTTAGTAAGTCAGAGATTTGCATCCTTTTTTACTTACTATTGCTTGGTGCTATAAACAGGCTTTATAACATTTGTTCAACTTCCTTGTTTAGATTTGGATTTTAATGGAAGGACCAGCAAACCTCATTGTCACTGATGTTTTTAGGCTGTGCAATTGTGAGCAAAGTAGATGTGAAAGAAATATTAATCTAATTCCGTGAAAACAGATGTATGGCTTAAAAGTCTCTCTTCAGGCCAGGCGGTGGTGGCACATGCCTTTAATCCCAGCACTTGGGAGGCAGAGGCAGGCGGATCTCTGTGAGTTCAAGGCCAGCCTGGTCTACAAGAGCTAGTTCCAGGACAGGAACCAAAAGCTAAGGAGAAACCCTGTCTCAAAAAATTAAAAAAAAAAAAAAAGTCTCTCTTCATTCTCTAATCTTTATCGGAAATGTTTATTGGTCACCTTACTATTTTGGGAAAATCGATTTTGTTCGTTATGAATTGAAATCTGGACCTTTTGCACTACTGAGATACCTGAACAGGTAGAAGCACTCAATACCAGGCCTAATGTCGCGAGTGCAGTTCCCAGGGGTCACATGATGGAAGAAGAGAACTGACTCCCACAAGTTGTCCTCTAAGCTCTACACCTGTCATAACTCATTTGCAAACTGACCCCTTATACACGCACAAAATCAATAAACAGAGCCTTTTCATATTTAAAAAAAATCCAAGTTGGATGACTTGGGTTCAATTTCTAGAACCCAAACAGTGGAAAGAAATATCAGACTCCCACAAGTTGCCCTCTGACCTCTACTCATGTGTTCTGGCATGCACCTTTCCCTGACACACAGAGAATTAAAAATTGAAACTATGTCTCTGATGGAGGAAGGTCATTGGTTAAATAAAAAGAAACTGCTTGGCCCTCATTGGTTAGAAGATAGGTGGGAAGAGTAAACAGAACGCTGGGAGGAAGAGGAAGTGAGCTCAGACTCCACAGCTCTCCTCTCGGGAGCAGACGCCTCAGAGAGATGCCATGCTCCCAGCTCCCAGGCAGACGCACCCGATGAAGCTCCGACCCAGGATGGACATAGGCTAGAATCTTCCCGGTAAGCGCACCTAGGGGCGCTACACAGATGATTAGAAATGGGCTAAATTAATATGTGAGAATTAGCCTAGAAGAGGCTAGATAGAAATGGGCCAAGCAGTGATTAAATGAATACAGTTTGTGTGTTGTTATTTCGGGCATAAGCTAGCCAGGCAGCCGGGGTGCTGGGGACACAGCCCCGCCGCCAATATTACTACATGTCTCTATAAGTTACTATGAGAGTGTGTAGAGTTCACATACCAGGGTGAGATCCTGATTCTGATGTGTTTCTTCCTTAGCTCGCATGTCAGACAGCACTGCATGTCTTACAGCTAACAATCAAGGAACCATGGGTATTATTGGGAGGTGGCTGTACGGAAACACACTTGGCTGCTCATATCAGACACAAGGTAAGTTAGACATTCTCCTTGCATTACTTAAGTTTTCAGCAGTTTTTGTTTTATGAGACAATGGCCAAATTATGATACCAACAAGGTTTGATACTTAGCTTCTCAAAACTTAGATGATGTAGTGGAAAATATTTTAGGAAAGTAATACTTATAAATACAAGGTGCTGAGTTGATTGTATTGGTTATCATAAATCTAACCTAGCAACTGGCCATGTTCTCTGAGCATTATCTATATTTAATGCCTGTTGAAGCTGACATTCTGTTATTGGAAGTTCTGAAATTTAACAGCATCTAATGTTCTAATGCTCACACACACACAAAAAAACTGTGGTTCAAAATATGTATAATACTTTCTGGAGCATCAAGAGAAGAGCCAACTTCATGGATTACACATTTCCCAAGGATCAGATTTCACATTTACTGTTTACTTTGTGTGTGCATGCACGCATGCATGTGTGCATTCATACATGGATTCATACATGCCATGGCACCTACATGTGGAAGTCAGAGGACAACATGTAATGCATGTTGTCGTCAGGCTGAGTGACAAGCCGTTTTACCCACTGATCCAGCTCTCCAGACTGTCATGACAGTTTTTAAATGGGTATCTGCCTGGGTCCTACCAACTCTACTATCTAGATTTCTCGTTAGTCTCCATTTACTGAAAGTCGTTAGATAAGTGTGTTATAGGTCTGATCAGTTATTTCATAGTCCTAGCCTACTTTGTTTGAAAGTAGATACAAAAAGATAAGCATGTTCCCCACATATTCCTGGTTGACCAGCTCCTGAGAGGCCCTACAGAATTTCCAGGGTGTAACTGGACCTAGAGAGACAGTGAATATTTTTACAGGCATAATCCTGTCACCTTTCCCAGATCACTCCACATGCATTTGAAGATAAAACCAATTCCTGAGAAGTTATCAAACTATACTTTATGAAAAACCAATTTCTAGCCAATCTAATGATAATCAATGGGTGACAATGTAATCTACAAATAAGATTGAATGCGTAGAAAAATGTTTTGGAGAAAAGAGATATCTTAAGTAGGGTTTAGAAAAAACAGGACAGTATCGAACAGTGGGGGGGTGTATAATATAAACCATGTCATCTGACTTTTAAGTCTGGTTTCAGAAGAAGATAGGAACTGTTTACAAAGAGCAAAGATGTAGTAATATGAGCGGCGGGGCTGCGTCCCCAGCACCCCGCTGCCCGCAAGACTAGCTTTACCCGAAATAATTACACGGACACTGTATTCTTTTAAACACTGCTTGGCCCATTTCTAGCTAGCCTCTTCTCTGCTAACTCTCGCACCTGGACTAGCCCATTTCCAATCAGGTGTGTAGCACCCCAAGGTGCGCTTACCGGGAAGATTCTAGCCTACGTCCATCCTGGGTCGGAGCTTCATCGCATGTGCCTCAGAGAGCAGAGCTATCCCCGCGTCCTCCCAGGAGCCGGGAGCATGGCGTCTCTGTCTGAGGCGTCTTACTTCACTTCCTCTTCCTCCCAGCATTCTGTTCTGTTTACTCCACCCACCTATGTTTTAAGCTATGAGCCCAAGCAGTTTGTTTATTACTTAACCAATGAAATCAACAAATTGATATATGACACTCCCACATCACAAAGATATGGGTTCTTTAACCATAATTCAGTTCGTAGCTTGCTTATTTACCAATTCTATTTTAAGACGTTTCCATGGAGCTGGGGAGGGTGCTCTTGGTAAAGCCTTTGCTAGGTAAGCAGGAGGACCTGAGTCCTGCAGCCATGTAAGAATCCTAGCTCTGGGAGGAGATAAGAGAATCCCTGATGCTCCTTGGCCAGCCAGCCAGCATAGCCACTCAGGGAGCTCCCCATTCAATGAGAGACCTTGTCTCAAAACTGCAAAGTCGAGAACAAGAGACAGAGGTATCTGACCTTGACCTTTGGCCTCCACACATGAACATTGTTTTCTCTCCCCCTCTCTTCTTTCTTCTCCCTCTCCCTTTCTCCTTCTTTTCCCTACCCCCAGAATAATTTAGGATATTGGAACTAAAAGGAGGTTTAAAGTCTAAATATCTTTTGATTAAATTGAAGAATCTTCATTTTTCAAACATTGAAGTGAAAATTACACATATCCCTAAATGATGTCTTAAATGTAATTTTGCAGTATAATTTTAAGCAGCTCTCAAGCATTTAGCTGATATAATAAGTACTTTATTTGGGACATTAGTCTTTAGCAATTTTGCTCTATACTCATGTTTTTTTTTTGTTTTGTTTTGTTTTGTTTTGTTAATCCTATAATCTGCATTGTCCTTTATATACTGAAGGAGGTGCCACCAGTCAGCCATTTAGAATAAACTGATAAACAGGTCTGTTCCTTCATTCTGGTTAGTGACTGGGAATATATATTGTTCTCTGGCCAACCAGGTTGACTCACACAGGCCAATCAGCATTGTTGCGAGATCTAAGGAAATGAAGGTGAATAACCTTTTGAACAAGGTTTTGATAGAGTATCATGTTTTTCTTAAGCGTTTTTATATGAGTTGATCCGTCTGTTTTCACTGGTCTTACTCCTCTTTAGTTTCATAATAAGGCAGACGACATTGTCAAAGAGGATGGTTATTCTCGAGCGGAACTCCGGATTGCTGCTGAAGCATTTTGCAGTGCTCTAGAAGCCGTTGCTGGCTCTTTGGAACATGATGGCGGTGAAATCCTCATTGACATGAAGTATGGACACTTTTGGTCAGGTCAAGCTGCTTCTGCTTCTGTTAACTGGCCAGATATGCTGTCACGATGTGGCTGTGGCTTGTGCAACAGCCAGGAAGGACTCAGCTGGTCTTCCTTAAGAAGCACTTATCATCCTTTTGCACCACAAACCTGCCTGTCACAGGCACCTGTGGACTCAGCCAGCAACCTGATTGTGGACTGTTTCACTGCCAAGCTTAGTGGCCTGCAGGTGGCTGTGGAGACTGCCAATTTGATTTTAGATCTTTCCTATGTCATTGAAGATAAAAACTAACGTAAGAGAATGGTATATTTATGTTATTAAACTAGTTCAGATGTCTAAGGAAAAAATGGTTGTTCTCTCCCAACGGCCTGCTCTGCCTAGGTGGAGAGATGATTTATAAAAATGTAGACTTACTTTCTTAAGGAAAGACAAGAATGTGAAATAGAAATGTAAAGACTGATAGTAATTCTTGATGCCTTTGCTTTGTCGCCATCGTACCACATCTGGTGTTTGTACCATGCATTTATGTTTGGAGGTTTGTAAATACTAAAGATAGTGTGTCACCTTAAAATATGGGAGTTGCTCCAAAAAAGGGTGACCTTGAACCTTTCCCACTAGCAAGGTAGAGTCTTCCCTTTTCATGGAAGCCATTGTTTATACGCATTTAGCTTTTTATACAACTTGATACTTTCCTTGGTGTAACATTGTTGGCTTATTTTAAATATTGTGAAATTTTGTTAGGATGTTTTAATAAAATCATTTGTGTTTCCTAAAACTATATATAACCTATAATAGAAAATACTGAAAATATAGCTAAGCATAGGTAACATGTTCTTGCAATCTCAACTACTTGGGAGGTTAATACAGAAGCAATGATACTGCCATGCCTGAGGCCTAAGCAGTAGTAGGACCCTTTTCCGAAGTAGAAGACAACACTTCACTAATACTTGAAGAAAATGATGCAAATCCAGATGGTAAAACATGGCATGAGAATTCTTGATGAAAATAATTTCAAAGAAGCTCATTCTGGCAGAAACAAATGACAAAAAAAAATCATCATAAGCACATTGTGATTAAAAGTAAGATTGAGGAGTAAGAGAGATGGCTCAGCAGTTAAGACCACTGCATGCTCTTCCAGAGGTCCTGGGTTCAATTCCCAGCACCCACATGGTATCACAGCCTTCTGTAACTCCAATTCCAGGAGATCTGACCTCTTTTCTGACCTCCACAGGTACCAGGCAGGCACATGGTGTACAGAGATCCATACAATCAAACTTAACTCATACATATAATAAAATAATTATAAAGTAAGATTGAGACCAGAGTATTGCCTTAGGAGGTACATCAGCACACAGAGAGGAACCACTGATAGCTACAAAAAAGAAGAAGAAGAAGAAGAAGAAGAAGAAGAAGAAGAAGAAGAAGAAGAAAGTAGTAAGAAATAAATCTGTGACAGTGTCCTTTTTTCAGGGTGCACAGGACGCAGAGTAGTAAAATTATTGGACCAAGAGGGTCCAGCAGGATTACCATCTTACTAATCAAAAGAAATCAAAGTTGGAGCAGGAAGAAAGGGAAGAGCTAAAGCTAATATTAAGAGGACTTTTCAGTGATTGGTCTCAGGGCTACCTCACTGGTACCGTGTTAGGAAATCTGCACTGTAGTGAAATAGTTTATTCAAGGTACTTCAACTATGCATTTTTTGTTTCTTCTGATAGAAGTTTGTTTTTGACCTCACTAGTTTGCATAAAGTATATAGACATTATCATGGTAAAAGTATAATGTATTTTTTATTAATATTTTTTCCAGCCTGATTACAGTTTACCCTCTCTCCTCTCCTTCCTGTCCCTTCCCCCAACATTCACTACCTGACCCCAAGCACTCCCTCTTTCTTTTCAGAAAACAGGAGGCCTCCCTTGTATGTCAAGCAGCCATGGCATGTCAAGTTTCATTAAGACTAGGCACCTCCTCTCATATTAAACCTAAACAAGGCAACCCAGAAGGAGGAAAGGGTCCTCAAAGCAGGCAACAGTGAAGGAACTCACGAAAAACAGAAAGGTGGTGAATATATAACCGAATGAGGGGACTGTGTTCCAGCCCCAGTAAGCAACAGAACTTGGCAGCATTGACCTCATGGTTCTGGAGAGGTAAGGGGCTATAGCATTTCCCTCCGTGATGAAGGAAACCCGCTGAGGTTGGTCATATGTCAGGGTTGTCCCTGGGTAGAGGCCTAGAGAGGCCTTTTTGTGAAACTGAAGTTGAATCCCTGGTTGCCTTGGAGACCCTAAGGTATTGGAGATACCTGAGTCGTGGGATACCTGCTGAGGCAATTCCTCAGTCCCTGGTACCAACTTCACTGAAGATGCCAGAGTCATGGAATACTGTGAGAACGAAAGTTATGTTTTAATCTTTCAATACTATGCCTAAGAGATCCATGAAACAAAAATGCCTCTAACCAGTAAGCCTCCTGCCCAAGGACATATACTTTCTGAAATCCTGGAAACAATTATTTATGGGCGATAACAAGCCACATGTTTCACTCCCCTGAGCAAATTTGTTTGACCCAACTAAACCACACCCACTCCCTCCCTTATCCACTGAGGCAGGCTGATCTTCAGCTTCCGGCCTGAGCTTCAGAGAGGCAGCTTCGCTCCTGTCTCTCTTCCCACTTCTCCGCCCCTCACTTCTCTGTCTCTCTCCTTTGTCTTCTCCTTCTTCCCCCACTCTCTCTCCCCTCTAAGTATCCAATTCTATTCGGTACAATGATGTGTCTGTCCACATGTCCCCCCCCCGCCCCCCCTCCCCGCTGGGACTGTCCGGGACGAGCCACTGCTCGGAACCGGCAGTCGTCTCTGCCTGGGACTAGCTGCTCTGTGGGCCCGCTGCCTACTGCCGCCGGGGATCTTGCAGCATTTTTAACAACACCAAATGTACTTGATCACAGGAAGGTAGGAGGATCACAGGCAGGAAGTTACCAGGATGTATACTTGCCCTGATTGGACCTGATGGGGAAGATGGTGGCCCTATGGTTTTGCCTTTTTAAGCCCCTGCAAAATGTGACTTTGGGTCATTTTCTGGGAACCCAGGAATGGATCTAGCCAGATTACATCCTCTTAGCCCGTATTTAATTAAAGCGTACTTCAAATTTGGCTCAAACATTGTGGTAATGGTCTTATTCTCAACCAGCGGGATTAACAATACCTGCTGAGGAAAGCTGCGCTCAGTAAGTGGAATCAGCTCAGGAGAAATAAGTGTGTTGCCACCAACAAAGCTGAAAGGAGTTGGAGATCTGAAGAGCACTTTGACAATAGACATGGAGACGCAGAGTTTAGAGTTTGCCCAGCTGGATTTCAGTCTTTCTTTGGTCCAGTATATCAAGTATTAAATGCTTTCCTTTATAAGTGTTGCTAAGGGCGTGGTGTTTACAGCAATAGGAACCATAACTAAGACAGTCTCCTTTGCTGGACACACATCTCCAAATTCTGTGCATGTGACTCTTGATGGCTAACAGCTAATCAATTCTCTCTCAAGAAAATAGTCCTAGACCGGTGTAGTGGCATGTACACCTTTATATCCCAGCACACAGGAGGCAGAGACAGGTGGATCTCTGTGAGTTCTAGGCCAGCGGGTCTATATAGTAAATTCCAGGACAGCCAGAGCTACATAGTGAGACTCTGTCTGGAAAATAACAGAGAGAGACAGAGACAGACAAAAAACAAAAAAAAAAAACCAGACACACAGGTGGCGGGGGCAGCTCTAAGCACACAGGCAGCCAAATGGGTGTGCCAAGGGAATTTGTAATCTCTGATTTGCATGTGTGTGTGTGTTCATACGATATATACATAGTCTTACTAGTGTTTTCAGTTGTGTTAGATTTTGTATTAGTTACTGTTTTGCTGCTGTGATAGAACACCATGATTGTTGAGCCAAAATTATCTCAGGACCTGTACCTTGAGGCCTGTAGGACAGAGAAAAGCCTGGCTTGAGTTTGAAGGATAGTCTCAAAACTACCAAGGATGAGACAGCAAAATCTAGGTAGACGCCCCTCCAGCCAGAGGGAGGACTTGGCTGTCTCTCATTGGCTGGAGGGACCCCCACATCACACAATGTCACTTAACCTATATAAGCTGATGTTCACAGTCATAAACAGTTTGTGCTTTGACTTGACTTCTTATCGCATCTGATTGTTCTTAGACATGGGGGCTCCAAATCTGATTGTCCTGCCTCGTGGGGCTGCAGAAGGAGCAGATAGTGCACTCATGTTTCCCTGGGGAATAAGGCTAAGGAAGCCCCTGCCACATGACCAAGGCAACTTATCGAAGGAAGAGTTTATTTGTGCTGATAGTTCCAGAAGGATTAGCGCCTATCATTAGGGCAAGCATGGCAGCAAGCAGCTGGTCTAGCTACTGGAGCAGGAAGCGGAGAGCTTACATCTTCAACGAAAAGTGCAAAGCCTACAAGTCTCACATTCTGTCTGCCTACTCATCCATGACATTCCCCAAACCTCAGAGGGAGTGCTGTAAATACACTCTTTAGTGCTGAGCACACGGACATCTCTTTTTCTCGGCATCTTGATGAACCGAGAGTCTCTGCATTCCCTGTCATTCATTGCAAAGAGAAGCTTTGGTGATTAAAGCTGGACTGCATTTGTCTATAGGTATAATCATAGATGTCTACATTCTGGAGAAATGGCTCAGTGGTTTAGAGCACTGACTGACCTTCCAAAGGACCTGGGTTCAAGTCACAACACCCTCAGGCCTCACAACTGTCTGTAACTCTAAGTCAGAGGGATCTGATGTTCTCTTATGGCCTCAAAGGGTACTGCACACATGTGGCATACAAGCAAAGACATGTGTCATACAGACAAAACACCCATACACATGAAATAAACAAATGTAAAAAAAATAACTTTATAAGGCAGTTGAAACTGTGTCAATCTAGGAAAATAACAGCAGTAACCTCACCCCTTAGATGATTGCTCTAGCCTTGAAGTGTTGATTGGACTTATATTAGCAGGCATGGAATCCCTCCTGTGGAGTGGGCCTCAAAGCCAGGGTGGTTCCCATTATAGTCATACCATTATTGCATCAGTTGGCACACCTTTCCTGGTAGTTTGGTATAGTTCATAGCATCCACAGTTGGGTCCTTGTACCTCTTCTCCCCTGGAAGGTTGCCTGGCACCTTCTGGAATTATAAAAGCTAGACAGCCTGGAGGAAGCTTCCATATTTATTTGTTGTAAAATATAGAGAAAACAAGCTGTAACTAAGAGATCTCAAAAGCCAAATCTCTGATCCTCACCACATATTAGAATCATCTGGTATCTTTAAGAATTCACATACAAGGAGCCCTCAGCAAACTCAACTCTGTAAAGATAAAACACAGTCATCATTTTTTCCAATATGTAGTTAACATAGAAAATGGATGGTATGAAATTTGATTTAATTACCATGTCTTCTCTGTGCCCCATGCTTTGTGAACCTAAGCCTGATGCTCACAGTCTTGAAAGTTCAACTAAATTAACATGTGAGTTCTTGCTTTGGAAAGTCTCACTATGTCCCCCTCCCTTATCTTGCTATGTAACCCCCTGGCCTTGAACTTACTGGATTTACATGCACGATGCATCTTTTATCACTGTTGTTGTACACAGAGGACTTTAAGTGGTGGGCAGTTAGTCTCCATTCAGACCATTATTCTAAAATTTTCTATCATTTGAGAGAAGTATATCAAATGTACTCCTGAGAGCCATTTCTTTCTTTCCTCTTTTAAAAGGTTTTTTTCAAAGAAATTGCTTTTAGCTATGTGTTTGTTGAGGGAGGGGTACGACTCATGTACTTGTGGTGCCTGTGGGGTCCACAAGTGTTGGATGACCTGATGCTGGAGTTACAGGCAGTTGTGAGCTGCCCAGTGTGGATGCTGGGAAGCAAACTCTTCAAGAGCTGCACGAATTTTTTTGTATCTGCTAAGTCACTTCTCGCTCCTGAAGCTGACTTCTTATCACTGGTTTCAGACACATCAGTGTTGGGTTACCAGAGTTTGCCATAAAGAGCTCAGTGCTAGAAAAGCCCTGGGTTTGATCCAGCACTGAACAAATTCTTGTCATGATACGTATCTTTTCTCTATCTTTTCATCCAGATCTAGTGGGATTCTACCCAGCTTCTGATGTGAACAGGAGTTAAAAACTGACCAGGTGAGATAGGGTGGCCTGATATCAGATGAGTGAAAGGAACAGGCCATTTGCCCACACTAAAGATATAGACAGAGATGGGATTATAATGGAGCAAAGGTCAGTTAGAGGTCACCTCCATGGGCCATTTTTGTACCAACTGGTTTTGTCTTTTTTGTTTGAATGATGGCACAATGTCCTGCTGCAACATGACTCTATCATTATACTACTATCTAAACCACTGGTTTTCCTACCCTGCCCCCTCTAGTTCTCTGGAATACCTCATTATATCATCAGAATATTGTTTAAATGTAACCCGGATCCCTCCAGACGTCAAACAAAATTCATCGCTACTCTTGTATAAGAATAGTTGATTACATTTCCACGGTCCCAGGTATGCTCTGGAAATGAAAATTTTGGATCGTCATTTGTAATTCAGCACATGCCTTGCACATCACATTCCAAGTCCAAGGGGATCTAAAGCTGCATTCTATAGCAAACACATTTAAATCTCCACACTGAGATACAAACTCTCAGTAAATGAGATAAATAGGCATTGTAAGCAGTCTGATAGCCTTGGCATTACATTTAAGAGAACATTTTCGGTCTCAGTGCTCTCACGGTTTGGGCAGCATGGATCAGAGATTGCAAATTCAAACAGGGAGGTGGGGGTTACTGTGAATAAAACAGAATGAGCATGGATTGGGAGAAGTTAAACAGAAACAAATGAATAGCAGACTGTACATGCTGCAAAGGCTCATTTAATAGGTTTCTTCCCACAAGCAAGCTGAATTTCCATGCAGATTGCCTGCCCTCTGGGAGTCAGGCTCAGAGCCCCAACCAGGACACTGCAATAAGGAAAAAAAAACAAGAAAAGAACAAAACCAAAAACTGATTTGGATGGTGGAGGTTTGGGGAGAGGAAACAGGAAGCTAATAAAAAGCTTTGGGAGCATCTAGAAATGGCATCTTGTGTGTGAGCTAATTATTTTCATGCTGATTCATTCCCCCAAGTAGTTCACAGCTGGCTCCTTTTTATTTTTCCCATTATAGTAATGCATCTGCATGGATGAATTAGCAATGGGTGGTTCAGGAGGCTTTGGCCAACCCTCAGATAGACCTATTGTTCTTGTAGCCTGGTAGCAATCCCCTGACATCTCCTGAGCTCTTTTATTTTGTATCCTGAAATATGGGTTCTTCTGTGTGCTGGCTGCCTTCCTCTGAAGGGACAGAAAGGGATCTCATGAGTCTCCTGATTATTTAACTGGTCTTTTGCTCAAGGATCATAACAGCGTCAAGAAAAGAAAATGGGAGCAAGGTGGCCAGAGCCTTCTTACATGAAACACATGCAGCTTTATTCCTCACCCTTTGCCTAAGCATTTTTCCTTTGGTGTTAGCCTTTAAGCACTGACTAGAAGCTGTGATGTGACAGATCAAAGCCGGGTTAAATATTCAAAAGCAGTCACTTCTTCAGATTTTTTTTTAACTGAATAGAAACATTAAAGTCCTTCAGAAATTTAGTCACTCTTAAAAATTGCAAGGCAGGGAGGGGGCAGGTGAGATGGCTTACTGGGTAAAAAAAAATGCTTGTTGCCGAAGCCTGATGACCTGACTTGGATTTGCAGAATCCATGATGGACTGAAAGAACAACTCCCATAGATTGAATGCCTTCAGATCTCCACGTGTGTGTCTTGACATGTGTACATTAACGTGTGCATGCACACACACGCACACACACAATACATGGAAGAAGGTAAAATGTAAGTTAAAAATAATGAAAATGGCAGAGATTCTTTATTATCTAAATTTAGATAAATTTTACCTGTATATGCCATATAAACCCAGAAGAAGTACAAGTACCACAAGAGAACTGATAAATGACTTTAATATAATACAAAATAAGTATTTGGTCACTGAATTTCAAATTCAAATT